CCTTGCCGCACATCGGTCGTATCCAGTTCTATTGCGAATATCGATTAGTTTCTAGGGGCGGCGGGATGAACAACGTCGATTACAACGTACCAAGTAGTTTTCGTACAAATGCGTCGTCGGCATAGCCTGTAATCCAGAGATCAAGGAGAGACTCGTCGCCGGCGGGCCCATCACCCCAATTCGGCCAATTGTCGTCCCATCGGATAGTTATCTCCTCGCCTTTGGACCAAAATCTCTTCCCGTTAACCCAGTTGGGGTTTGTGAACTCGGCTAAAACAGACGCCGCTAGGTACGACAGGCAAAAGAACGCCTTCATCGTAGAGCTGGCGGGGAGAGGGTACAGAAGCAAGAACTATTTCAACAGTAAGCTTCATAACCCCCTTAATCACTAGGCGGCTGGTTGCGGTGGCTGTCAGCCTTGCCAAGGCTCCCGTGCCGTAATGATGCAGACATCACAAGGCGCATGAACCCCTTACAGATCGTATTCAGATGTCGCCAGGAACGATAGCTAAAACCCATGCTATTGTATTACGGAATCAGGGTGCGGCTTTAACTCAGACTCGGGACTGGTTTTGGTTCGATGTATAGTCTTCTTATACAACGAGTGCTGATCATGCGGCAGTCACAGAGAAGTCAATGTATACAAATGTCCGGGGACTCGATCTGTTTTCTAGGCGTCCTTCACTACCTACGTCTCAACGCAACCCAGATAATCTTCAGTATCTCAACAATGTTTTTGCTTCGTCGCCCAGTCACACATGACTTTTCCGACACAGCTGCAACAAGCGCACACCTGTCATGTACCGCTGTGGTCAGCGCCACAATCTCCATCGTCAGCCTTTGAATGCCTTACCTTCTTTTGTTTTACCGCGTTATCATCTCCATCTATGCATGTCAAGGTCTGCGCGTTCCACCGAAACTTGTTGTAGCAGGCGTTTGCGTTGATGACCGCGGCGCAGTCGTCGCTCCGTGCGACTTCGGCAGTGCACTCTGGGTATGTTTGGGCGGCGCTGAGAGCGAGAAGAGTTGCCAGGACGGCGAGAAAGAGCACCATGACGGATTCAGGTGATTGAAAAAGATGAGAATGCTTGGTTGGGAAGTGTTTGTCGTTGTGTGGTGCCGCTTTGCTCTGCTCAACTACCTAGGTATCTGTTATCGGACGTCACAGGCACTGCGCATCCCGGACTCATGTATCCGATTGCAACTCGTGCCGGTCGCTTGGAACAATATATCCGGAAGTACTATGCAGCTTGCGGTATTTTGGAGGAGAACGAATGCTGGTTACACCCACGGTCAGCTGCAGTTCCTGTAGGCATCGGACGGATCGTCCCGCGTCGTGCACCTTTTCAGCTCTTGGCTTTCAACAACTCTAGAGAACACTCATTCCAGGCGTCTGCTCATTTGAAGGCTTCAGATGAATGACCTCCTTCATGGAACGACGACGTTCGATCTTCCTTGGCATCTGAGCTCGCATTCGCTACGCGATATTAGCTTACATTACCCTGGCCTTCGGCTCTTCGCATCGATGCTCGTAAAAGACGGCAGTTGGTAGTATCTTGGACATCAAATCGTGGCACCCATAGTATGAAGGATAGACTTGCCATGGGCTGCAAACTGCTGTTTGGTAGCTGTCGATAACACCGGAACGCTGGAGACCACAGGGACGTAACGACATGAAACTACACATCTTCGCCATTGCCTTCGGGTTAGTCGCGACTGCGAAGGCAGGGCTTTTGCGCTTTGGCTGCGCGCAGTTGACAGTCCAGAGACTTGACCCGTTGGTGAACCCAGGCTCGAATCCCTCGCCGCATCTCCATCAGATCATCGGAGGTGTAAGGAAGCTCTTCTTCAAACAAGCGTTCTACTGCTGACACCGTCAGAACTCCTTCAACGTCACCATGGATCCAGCCAAAGGCCATGATTTGGCGGCACAATCGACATGCACCACGTGCGAGTTTTCCGAAGACTTGAGTGAGGACTACGACACTGTTCTAGATGACGGAGAGATGCTAACGAGACGATTGTAGGCAACTACTGGACCGCGGTCGTTTACTTCAAAGCCAAGAACGGCACCTTCAAACGCGTACCCCAACGAGCGCAACAGGGCATGGAAGGTACCAACGGCGGCATGGTACACAACTTCTTCTCACCCCATCACATCCCACGTCTAACATGCCTGCAGGTCGTATACTACATGACCGACGCCCTCTTCAGCACCTCGCAAACCACAAAAGTAACAGCCTTCAAGCCCGGTTTCCGCATGCTGATCGGCGACGTCTCGTACCGTTCTCGCGATGAAGCGCGCGACTTTCGACAGTTGACATATATTTGCATGCAAAACGAGGGTACCCGAGAGCCTGAAACACTCGAGTTCCCGAAGCAGCCTTGCCCGGCCGGCATCATGATTAACCATCGGTTTCCAACTGTAAGAGTTCCGACTTTGCGATTGTACGTTGCATGTATGTACTGACTGCTTCCAGTGCTGGGACGGCGTGAACCTCGATTCACCAAATCACCGCGAACACGTCTCGTATCCCGCGACGGGTACATTTGAAAATGGCGGCGCGTGTCCATCCACACACCCCGTCCGCCTGCCCCAGATCCTGCTAGAGACGGTCTGGGACACGAAGCAGTTCAACAACAAGGCCGACTGGCCAAGCGATGGTAGCCAGCCTTTTGTCTGGTCTAGCGGCGACGCGACTGGCTTCTCGACGCATGCGGACTACCTGTTCGGCTGGAAGGACGACTCGCTGCAGAAGGCTATGGATGGGAATAATTATGTGTCGGCGCCAACGCTGAAGAAGCAGAATATTGCGACGCAGAATAAGTGCAATGTAAAGGATATGGTTGGCGAGAATTTTGATGGTTGGCTGACGGCGTTGCCGGGTGGGATGCAGGTTGGTTGAGGCACGTCTCGATCAAGGTTCACGTTGTTGCGTTGAGGTGTTGTGGGTGTATCATTAGTTAGGAAGGTCTGACTCGTTTGCAACTATCGCTTTACTACAGGTACGGTTCATGATCTATCGATGATCAATACAATCTTCAAGCTTCCTATTGTGCGATAAATTTACAGTTCAGATTGATATCTGACAACGGACGTTTTGAACACTTTTACTTATATGCTATACCACTAGGGTAGCCACCAAAGTAAATATGTGACAAAGGCGTCCTGGACCGATGGCTGACTTGTCTTTCAATATTTCGGTCGTTGTATCTCCATGTAAAAACTGATCCAGCATCAAGTAAGCAGCCAACCCTGGCGCTCTCAATCGGTTCCTCTGATACCTTGTCAATGATCGCATCCTGCAGCTCAACGGGGAGCTTGCGAAGAGGAGCCATAGTGGGGCTGGTCTGCGTGGCTTGGAGAAGTAGCTCGATAGCTTCTTCAGATGGAGGATGCACCCCATCAAATAGAGGCATGGGTTCCGTATATTTTTCGAAATCCCTGCTTATCCGAAAAAGAATAAGTTCCCGCACCGAGAGTATGAGGTAAGTGGAGGTTTTTCCTGCCGAACCAGGAGTAGACATAATCTGCTTCCTGAAATCATTTCGAATCAGCGTGATCGCGTGCGGAGTATGCTGGCATATGACGATGGCCGTTCCACCGACCCTAACAATGTGTCCACTTGCAAAGTCCCACTCTGGGAGATTGTCTATCCAGACCAGGTAGCGGCCAATGGCTTGGTGTGCGAGCGTTGCTTCTTCGACGGTAAAGTCCAGGGTAACAATCCTGACAATAGCATTGGCAAGCCTCCGAAACGTAGAGTTGTTGTAACGACCGCAAAGAACATGCCTCCACTGAAATGCAAAGTCGGCAAGTATCCTAGAGACGAAAGCCTTGCGCCGCTGTAGGCGCGGCAGGTCGATGTTCTTGCGTCTCATTTTCCAGAACATCACTGGGCGGCGTGCTGAGTAGACGGATTGCAAGGCATGTTTGGCAAGTGTCGGCGGTGGTTCGCAAGGCTCGAAATCGGAAATGGTTATGGAACGCTGGCGAACAAGGTCGAGAGAAACCCAGAGGTTGCGATCTGTCTGGTCCAATCGCAGAATATCGCGATCAAGGTCAAAGGTCCAGACCGCTCTAACGTGACTCCATCGGCGGTCGTTAAAGGGTGTGAGGAGGTCGTCCCGCTGTTGCCAATCCCGGGCAACCTGCGAGTACAAAACATCAAAAGTAGATTCTACGTCTATGAGCACTTTTTGCCGTCTATGCCGGGCGATGATGGTACTACGCACCTCTTGCTACGCCCGCAAGCCTGCTCGAAAATAGTTGCAGCATGGCGTCATCTTCGGCAGAACGATGTCCAGCAAAATAGAAGGCCCCTCGTTCTACGTTAGAAGAACAGACCGTGTATAGTATTGTACTGGTAACGTGCCTTGCAAGTTAAGGTTGATATGCGCTGCCATGGTGAGCCGTGGACGGGCGCGAAGTACAGGGACGGTTGAGCTCTGTGTGGAGGTAACAATAGATTCGGTGCAGTCGGTCTGCGTACATTGGCAGGCTTGGCAACGCGCCACGTGTGGAGATTGAGACGAGATGGGTTGGGAAAATTAACGGTGGGAAGGAGAAGGCAAGCCCTGGAGAGTGCAAGATTAGGAGGTCCGGAGCGTTAGTTATGGCGACCATGTTGCTGAGTCAACCAACAACAGGATCGCTAGGAATTGCGCGTACATTTTCAGCGGATGTCGAGGCCGCGGGGAAATAGTCACTAAACTAGAAGTAATGAATTTTGTGCCATACAATGCCGCTAACCCAAACACCTTGCTAACGAAAGCAAGTTCGACAGACAAACGATACGCATACACAGAACAGCCCCCCATCATCGTACATCGGCCCCTACCAACAGCTCGCCAGCCGGATAATGCCACTCATATCCCTGGGATATTATCCAAACGACGATTTCTTTGCAACACCCTGATGAGTGATCAGATACATATAGTCCTCGTTCAGTTTTCTAACAGCGTCAGCACCAAGCATGAGAAAGTTAAGGTCCTCATGTTCAAGACCTGGCTTCCTCAAGCTCGAGCTCTAACTGCCTGATGCGCTCATCCTTTTCACGGTCCGAGGGCTCGGAGCTGGCAACCTTGGTCTTGAGCATTGAGACTTCGCGCAGAAGGAGTGCGATTTGATCGGTTTGGTCCGACATGACCCTGTTTTGCTGCTCAAGCTGTGACTTGATGTCGCCTAGTGCATCGCGGAGAGCGGAAGCAGGGCCACCGGCGCTAGGTGTGGAAGTCGTAGCGGCCGCAGTGGGCGTAGAAGAGGCAGGTGCAGCAGATGAGGTGGGTGTAGAGGATGCTGCAGGTGTGGGACTGTGAGTGGACTTCGCGCTCTCAGGTTCCTTGGAGATAGTGGGGCCCTTAACCTTCTCTTCCTGGCGGGAAGCAGTGAAAGTGCGGCGCTCTGCTGGCTTGGGAATCTCTTCGAAGCTCGACGCGCTCTCGTTGTCCGAAGCATCCTTGTCCGCGAATTTGGAAGCTGCCGACGCCATAGAATCCTTGTTGTCCTTCATAGATGGGGGTGGACCACGAGAAGCGACTGGTGTAGGTATGGGCTCGGGCGCAGGCTTGGGCGGCTCGGCCTTGACGGGGGATGGCTGAGTGGTGGCCGGCTGGGAAGGCTTGTAGTCGTTTTCCACCTCTTTGGGGGCTTCGCCCTCATAGACGCTTTCAAGTGAAATCTTGGGCGGCATTGCAGTCTTTCCGCTGAACCAATCGGCAGCCGAAACACCTGGCTTCAGACCTGTCGTAGGCGGGTAAATATCACTCTGGAACATCTCGGAACGGCGGGGGACGATGAATGATACGGGCTCGACGTAGGCATCGTTGACAGTCTTGAAGCAGCGCAGGACCTCGTTCTCGTGCAGGTTGATACCCCGCTTGGGAAGGAAGGCGATACCGCGCTGAGGGTCGCCGGACTTGTATTCGGAGAGGTACTCGAACTTGTCGTTCTCGTATTCGTAGTAGCGGATGTTGCCGTCACTGCGCAAGTTAGTGTATGGCCATAAAATTGGGAGGTCAGACGTACCCCTTGCCGGCGAGGTACAAGCACTGTGTACCGTCGTCCCAGAAGGGCATGCAGACACCGGAGATGGAGTCGAGGATCTGGAAGCCGCCAATGGGCTCCTTGGGGTTGCGCGGGTCCCAGAGACCGAGTTGACGGTCGCTCATGCGCGAGAAGCCAGTGGTCGCGATACGGTCGGTCTCACCCATCCACACAGCGCGGCTGTTCTTGGCACCAGGATGACCGGGAACCTCCTGGGCGGGCTTCTCCTGGCGTACATCCCATACGCGCAGCTTCTTGTCGCGGCTCGTGGTGACGAGGAGCGATCCGTCGGCGCTCCATGAGAGCGATTGGACAATGTCGTTGTGCTTGAGCGTGAGCTGTGGCAGACCGGCCTCGACGTCCCAGAGCTTTACGGTGTAGTCGCCAGACGCGCTGGCGAGGACGTTCTCGGCGGCGGTGTTGAAGAGGACATGGCCGACCTTCCTGTGGCAGTGTTAGATGCAAATCTCGACCGAGCGCATCGGCGTACCTCATGTGGCCGCTCAGCTTGGCGACAGGCGCGACATCAGCGGGCTCCTCGGCATCGGTGTGCAGGGTGAAGTTCTCGGGCACCTTCCAGATGCCGACTTTGCCGTCGTCAGAGGCCGAGGAAATGAGAGAGTCGTTGAAGGGAGACCTGCGCGCGGTTAGCGTCGTACTCGGCCCTGTCACGCCATGTGCGACCATACCAGTCGGTGTCGAGGACGGCGGCAGTGTGGCCGCGGAAGAGAGGGAGCTGGTCGGGCGCCCGGCCGCGCTCATTGATGGGGATGACGGCAAAGGCGCCACCGCCGCTGGCTTCCCAGTTGACCGAGATGTATTCGGGGTTGGCCTAGGGGGGTGAGCGCAAGTACGACGGGGTCGCGTGCGGGAGAGCTGACCTTGATCAGGTTGGTGTCCCACGCATTCTTGGAGATGCGGAGGTTATCGTAGCATTGCTCCTGCACGACTGTCAGTACACGTGCGTGCTAGATCCATGGATGGCATTGGAGCGTACCTTTTTGGTGCCCTTGCCAAAGACGTGGCCTGGCAGGCGTTGTTAGCATGTTGGGCTGGGCGGGCGTTGGACATCAACACTCACGGTACTTGGACGCTCGCACAAATCGGCCGGCCATGGTTGCGGGTGGCAGTGACGGGGGTGGTGGCGAGTGTAGGAATGACAGACTCTCGGGCCTCGGGCGTTGGGCTATAAGAGGCGCTGCGGTGGGTGCGAGGGCAATGCGACGGTTTCGAGCGCGTGTTTCGAGTCCTGGGACGCAGTTGCCCCCAGCATGCCTATGCAGGCGCCTTGGCGGTGGGCCCGCGATGCCCGCTCCAATCTCGCCAACGGTCCCTAGTCACCCTCGTCACTCCACCACTCCACCTGACAATCCACCAATTTGCAGCTGTTTATGCAGCCCCAGCCCAGCAACCGCATGTTCGCAGCACGATCTCCAACTAACGACTTAGCACGAGAGGCCTGAGGCCGGTCCCGAGGTCACGAGAATGCAACTTCTGTTTTCACATTCCTTCTTGTGCTAGTTTCCTTCGACTGTCCGTGGTCAATACTTTGCGTCTACTACTACTACCAACAAACACTCAAACCATATTCAGGCAGACCCGTCCCTAAATATCCTCAAACACCTTCCTCTCCGCCCTTGCTTCAATCATGCCTAGTTCTTCGCACCTTCCGCGAAGCCAAATCGTCCACTCGTCGTCGCCAGCAGCCAGAACCACATTTTCTTGCGGGTAGACGACCCACTGTATTCCCGAGAGAGCTTTATCCATACCCTTGTTGAAGAGCTGCGTTTGTTCCTTGCTCCACGATTGGAATATGTCGCAGAGCTGTTCGCGGACATGATTCTTATAAGCATTCTCGACGAGGTGGGTATACCGCCCCATGTATTTGCGCCGTGGCCGTCGACTCTTGCGATCGACGGTTGCATCATTAGGAAATTTCTCTGAGCAACCATCCGTAAGACGCAAGTATGCGATATACTGATCAACCGCTTCGACGAACTCAGTTGCCCATTGCAAGGCTGTTGGCGCCTTGTTGTGGAACTCCATAGGATTTTCCAAGTGCGTTGATATCAACGGAACGATGTGGTACAGCATCACCCCTAACCCCATCCCCACGTCGAAGGGCTGAGCCGAATTAGTACGGATTCTGGCAATGATTGCTGGTATTTTAAAGTCGTATCCCATCTTTCCGAGCGCGAGGGTATCGAACGTGTGCTTCTTGGCTCGTTTGACTGCTTGCTCTGGTGCACTGGTAGACTCTCTGGTGCGCTGGTTTCCATCTATCAGAGGGGCCCCCGCCCTTTTAGCGCCTTGTGTCTGTGGAATGGCCATGGCCAGCAGTGAGTGCAGAATCGAATTATGGCTTCTCAGGTGGATGATCTCGACGTGCAAGATAAAGATTCCCCCTGGCAGGCCACGGGTGGATATATTGTTTTCGTAGTGTTTGCGCTGGCATTGTTGAAATATGTCTTTGTCACAACACGTTAGTTAGCTTTGCTAATAGAACGGCTTTGAGCGTTCTCAGGTCCTATGATGTCTTTCACTACATTGTGTGATATTGTAACCATTCGAGACACTGGGGTCGTTCTAAAGCGTAGACAGGTGAACTGGGGAACATGGCCATACACCTACCCAAGTCTTGGACGACAAGGCTGAGCACATGCATGCTGCAGGCACTTATCCGCAACCGAACCAACACCGACGTAAGTCAGTATGCAGTCTACTATCGCAAGTAAGCTGGCGCGGAACTTCTCGAATGCATCGAAGCTCCCCAGCCTTCCTCAAGTCACCGATCTTCCGTTGGTGAGACCTACATCGACGTGTCTCATATCAAGCCCATGGAGACACCACTTTACAGAACGTGCGACTGTCGCGACAGCGCACTCTCTTCTACCGCCAACGTCCTTTCCATCTTAACATTCGCGTACATTCTGATAGCTGGCACTCTTTACCAGGTAGCTGCGCTCTATCGAGTGAAAAGTGATAGCGACTGGGCTGCAGTGCAGGCGCAAGCGACACGACTACGAGACTTTGCATGGTCGATAGAACGCAGAGACGCTATCAGCACTGAGTTCTTCAAACGGCTCGACGATCTCGATAAGGAGATAGCAAGGAAGCTTCCTGGCAATGTCGCAACAGGGAAATGGCATCTGGTATGGCGGCAGGCAAGGAGCACCTGGGACAGAGCTGAGATAGAAGAGAAGCTATACAGTCTGGCGCAGATGCGGTATGTTTTGACGGGAGTCCTCTATTTTCCCATAGAGTGAGAGGAATAACAAGCTAACGCTCAGTCCACGCATCAGTCTACTATTTCTCGAGAGTGGATTGAATGACGTTGAGCAAGACAATAAGCCGACGGACCAAGTGCTAGACAAAGCTCGCACCCAGCTCGAAGAGTCGAAACGCCTGTTCCTCACTCAACTCAGGAGCGAGCCCAAGGAGCGGCGAAGACGAACGCTAGATGCAATAAAGAGCGAATCCGGGGAACGAGGGCGCGCAGCTTGGGAGGAGATTGAGGATGTGATCAAGAGGCTTGATGCAGAGGATGTGGAGCGGCGTGGAACCCGGGGGTTTGTCGAAGGCGTTTGATGAAGTGCGGAGCGCAAGAGACGGGGGTTCCCGCTCATAATAAGATTCAAAGCGCGTCCATGTCTGTAGATTTGCGCTCGTGTCGCAAACAAAAACCAAAGTTCAAAAAGATCCAAGTCAAAAAGCACGATGCAGGTGGTGTTGAGAGGATGGCACACGGCTGGTGGCAGTGCCTCGGCTCACGGGGATAGCGGCAATGAGCTCCCCATGGCTTGCGTGCGGAGAAGCATAGCCCTTTACCTCATTCTACCCAGACTTCCTGACCTCCTGCATGCTCATCATTACATATACGGACCAACCTCGCCATGTCTGACGAAACCGAGAAGCCCACCCAGCCCGGAGCGTCCAATGTGACTGACACCCCTGACGTCAAGGAGGTGGTGGATAAGATAGCGGATGCCGCACCCAGGGCGGATCCGAGGGACCTGGACAGGACCGACTTGCTTGCAGGCGTCAAGAAAGTGGACCAAACGATTCTGAGGCTGAACAAGTACGTCAGGTCGAGCGTGTGTCGTTGTGAGGGTCAGAGGCATGAGCTAATGTAGGGCAGACTCCTAGCTTCCCCAGGCGGCCTCTCCGCATTCCTCTCCACATTCAACTACTCCCTCTATATCCTCGCCTACGTGCAGACCAAATCGCCGTCCATTTCCAGCTTCGCGACACGGCTCCTCACGCTGATCCGCCCCGCTTGCGACGATGCAAAGATCTCCGCCGCAACCCTGTTGAACAACGGCACGGTGCCGCCCATCGCTGCGCTCGCCGTCCTCATCTCGAAAGCGCGCACAACGCTGAGGCTGTTTGGTCTTTTCCCGCTGTACGCCTGGTTGCGCTCGCTAGCCTCAGGCCCCAAAGCCGGCACAGATGTCGTGCTGCACCGCATCGCCATGCTGCAGGCGAGCAGCTACTTCTCCTACCAAGCCCTAGAGAACATCTCCCTCCTCGCCGACTCGGGCGTCATCTCGCCCCGCTTCATCTCCACCCTCAATCGCGGCGATTCGACGACTGCGCGTTTATACCTGTATGCCTACCGCTGTTGGCTAGGCGGCGTGTCGTGCGACTTCCTCCGCTTGATGCGCGAGTGGCAGCTCGAGGGCCGCAGGAGGGTGACTAGGCAACAGATGGTTGCCGATGGCCGCGCGATTGCGGAATATCAGGACGAAGAGGACAAGAAGTTTGACAACAGGTGGTGGACCGACTTTGTTATCGCAAGCGCGTGGTTGCCCATGGCGCTGCACTTCAGCAGCACGACTGGAGGCTTGCCAGGCTGGAATCTGGGATGGATGGGTGCCTGTGGTTTGGTGGCTGGAAGTACGAGGTTCAAGGCGCTCTGGGCAAGTACAGCCTAGGGGATTTGTTACCATGGTAAGAGGGCTTACTGGGTTTCGGCACAATTTACATATATTCGAGCGTTTAGCTTTTTTCACAGTTGAGGTATTCGAGCAGTATGAGCCCTTACGTTGTCCATGTCATTTTCCACAGTCCGGTCATGGTGACCATGTGCTGCCGCGGCGATTGCGCCTGCCCTGAACGCATCTTTATGAGCGATACAAGCCGTATGCGGAATGGATACGGAACGCACCTGCTTCTACACTACGTGGAGCTAGCCGTACAGGGAAAGCCCAACCGACTATCCAGAAGTGGGGAAGTGACTATCTCCCAGACACGATTACGTCGGCCCATCCTGCTCCCGCCTGGGACCACGAACATACAATCGACAACGCTGGCGTCACCACACGCCCACGAGAATTGGGACTCACTACCTTTTGGAACACCTTCGTTGAGCTAAGCTGTTCCTGAAACATGGCAGGCAATAGTGTATGTTCGCGACCACCAACGGCATGACATTGACTGACTCATTTCCTGATCTAGAGTCTTGGTCTAAATCCTCAAGACTTTAACATTGTCGAAGCTAGTATCGGTCATCATCTAGAAGCTCTCGACGAACAACGGATTACCAGCGTGGATCTTGTCATCAGCTGTCTGAATCGCATTGCCAAGTTCGACACTATCCAAGGTCTGAATGCCTTTACGGTATTCAACGAGAAGGTCCTCCAAGATGCAGCAGCTTCCGATGCTCGGCGTGCCCAAGGTCTCAAGCCTCGACCTTTGGAAGGTATACCTTATACGATCAAAGACAGCTACAAAGTTGCCGACATGACAGTCACAGATGGCTCACCTGCTCTGAAAGGTGTCATGTCAAGCGGCGACTCTGCAATCGCTGAGAAGCTTCGAGCTGCGGGAGCGATCTTGATTGGAAAGACTAACATGCCACCGATGGCTGCGGGTGGTATGCAGAGAGGCATGTATGGTCGTGCAGAGTCGCCGTATAACTCAAAGTACCTCACCGGCGCCTTCTCATCTGGTTCGTCAAATGGTGCTGCAACATCTGTGACGTCCAGCATGGCAGTCTTCGGCATGGGTAGCGAGACCGTCAGCAGCGGACGAAGTCCAGCGTCCAATAACGCCATCGTATGCTATACGCCATCGAAGGGACTCTTAAGCTGTCGCGGGTTGTGGCCTTTGTACATCACATGCGATGTGCCAACCCCGTATGCGCGATCGGTGGACGACATGTTGGAAATACTAAATGTCATCGCTACTCCAGATGAAGACACATCAGGGGACTTCATACGCGAACAAAAGCATGTGCAGATACCTCAGCCTCCTTCAATCGATTACACTACTCTACGAAACGGCGAAGCGCTGCGAGATAAGAGGGTCGGGGTGCCGAAGATGTACATTGGCCAGAAAGACTCAGATCCGCACGCAAAGCATCCTTACGTCTCACCAGAGGTCGTCGCAATATGGCAACAGGCAGCGGAAGACATTAAGTCTATGGGGGCAGAAATCGTCTATACTGATTTCCCTCTAATAACAAATTACGAAAACGACTCCCGTTCAGGTGAGGCGAACAACGTCGATGGACGTCCCGCGAACTGGAACCTCCTCGAGCGAGGCGTTCTTATCGCCCAAGCGTGGAACGCTTTTCTCGTAGACAACAATGATCCCAGCATCAAGTGCTTAGCCGACATCAAAGATCCCGCGATGCTATTCCCAAAGCCACCAGACTACAAGCCGGATCGCTTTCTCGAAGTGAGGAATTGGATTGATTACCCCGGTCTGCCCAAGATGGTCCAAGATGGTAGTATACATGACATACAGGGTATGGAGCAAGCTCTCAAAGCTCTCGAAGCTCAAAGGAAACGCGATCTAGAAGATTGGATGGACAAAAATGGGCTGGATGTCGTTGCATTTCCTGCGCAAGGCGACGTCGGTCTCGCAGATCTTGAATTCGACATTGACAGCACGACACATAGTCTCCAGAATGGCGTGAAATACTCCAACGGTAATCGCGCGATCAGGCATCTCGGTGTACCTACTATGAGTGTACCAATGGGTGTCATGAGCGACAAGAACGTGCCTGTGAACATCACATTCGCTGGGAAAGCCTACGAAGATACGAAGCTATTGGAGTATGCATGTGCGTTTGAACGGGCGACCAAGAGACGTATACCGCCTCCCCTTACTCCCGCCCTACCCACCGATATCATCCGAAAGGCATTCTCCTCGCCACCCAAAAACAAGTCTCTAATTGAGTCCGTTGCAGCTGTCTCCAACACTATCTCGGGCCTCAATATCCAAGTCTCCATGGTCGCCAACGGTGGCTCTGACCATCCATCGCCAGCAACGTCACTGGAGGTCTTCGTAGACGGGGAGGCGGTATTTCACGAGAACGCCAACAAGTTGCAGTGGAATGTTTCGTTTGCAGATGAAGTTCAGAGGCCGGAAGTCCTGGGGTGGGATCTCAGGCCGTCGCAGAAGAGAGACATCATGGTCATCGTGGTTGTGAAGAGGCAGTTGGATGGGGAGGACCTGCAGAGGGAGGCAAGGGTACTTTGGGTACCTGTCGATGAACTTGGCGAAGTGTCTGCTTGAATATCTGCAAAGACCTACTGCAAAGAACTGCATTTGTTACGCCTGTATGGCACAAGGTTGCGGGGACGACCATGCTGTAAATGACCAAGTCGCATAGAGCGAAGCACCTCGCATCAACTCGATCACTCCACTTTAACAAAACACCGTGTACTTCTGATACCTCCCTTACAAAACCGGCAGAAAAGCCGAAAGATCTCCATCCAACGATCATCCGATGTGGGCAATGCGATATCCGTCACTCCCATTGACGAACCACCTAGTATTCCACGTGATTACAGAAGCGAAGACCTTCCACTTTAGTAAATGTGAGCTGTCTGAGTGACGTGCTCGCCTGAGATAGCCTGGCCGTCCATGATGCCGTGTACATACGCGTCTCCAACAAGACGAAGTTCATGATATCCATTCTCAACTTCTTCCGTGTTTCTTTTCCGCATGACAAATGGTACGTTGCCGTTATAAAAGACCCAGATCTGGTCTCCCGGCAAGGTAGTAGGCGGGCCCATACCGAGGTAACCTCTCTTTGTAATGAAGAAAGCATGATTCGGTACCATACCACAGAGAGATTCAAATAGCCCGCTCATTCCGTGTGGAGGGTAATTAGACTGGTGGCCTTGTTGCGGGAATTCTTCATTGTTGAGTGCGCGTTCGATCTCGAGAAATTCCGAAGCGTGTGTGGCTTTCGCTCGTTCGATAGGGTACTCAGCCATGACGAGATCACCGATCATGGTCCGCCACAGGGCTTCGCATGACTGTGCCGGATCACGTTTATAGCTATCCCGTCCTTCCACTAGTTGTCTTGCGTCGGACATTATGTCCCGTATCTTCCGATAGTCAAGATATTCCTCATCGGAAACCTCGTACACGCTGTTGACTTGCTCTACTTGGTCGACCAGCAGACCTGGTAAGGATAGACATGTCCAATCACTTGATACCTTCGGTACTGAGCCTCCCTTCTCGAGCTTTTGTTCGCGGTCGATTCTACCACCTGCCGAGAACTGCCTGTATCGATGCGAGTGATTCCACCACTTCAGCTGGCGCTTGCCTACACGGTTGGAGCATGCGAAGTCGATTGACCAACTCGGTAGATCGGGGGTGACATGCGGCATCTCGCTGGACGCAATCAGAGGCCTAAGACCTTCTCCAAATAGCAGTAGATCGCTTGTAACCCTTGCAAATAATAAATATGCCGGTAGTGAGTAGCTACGCGCTTGAGCGTGTGGAAGAGTCTCTGAAATCTGACGCGCATCAAGCAAGCCCAATAGCCCATAGATTTTATCGCGTGGATCGGTAGCTTTCCGATGGCGCCAGCGCATGAACAAGTCTAACCCCGACTCGCCATCAGTCGAATGTAGAAACCCATTGACAGGATACAGAAGACTACGGAGAAGTGGGGTATGCATGATGCGCTGATATCGAAACCTGGGTGGGAAAGAGCGAAGATTGTCGCCACGCAGGTGCTGTACCACTAGGAGTATGCTGCGCCGTGACACTGAGAGTGGACCCCATCTGAACTCAGCTGAGCGGGGCAGTATTGACTCTTGAATTGTCCAGATGCGCTCCCACCAGGTATTCCCATACATAACAAAGGCTGCAAAGGCCTTCCGAGCCGTCACGCCTGCGGCACCTTCTTGGAAGAGCGTAGGGAGACCATCCTCGTGATCGACGCCTTTACTAGACAAGTCGTGGGCCTCTCCTGCTGATGCGTTTCGAATTGCTGGTCTGTTGGCCACAGCTTCAAAGAACGCAAATACTGCGTGTGTGTCCGCCTCATTTATGCCATGTCTGGCATATTGGATCTCACCCAGCCATAAGATGCAATGTGCGCATTTACTGTAGATTTCTCGCATCAAGGCAACTTGGCTGGCCTTCTCTTCCATATCCGACTGGTTGATGCATATCTGATCAACCCATAGTGTGCGCATTTGGTTTGGATAGCGTAGGCGTCGAAGGGCGTCGTGGAGGTTTGGCGAGATGTTGACGGGGCTTCCTGACACTTGAAGGCTTCTTTTCTCGCTAGCGTCACCCCAAACATATGAAAGCGCTTCGTATTGCGCATCTCCATCGACACTGACGTTTCGGATATGGCACTCAATTGTTTCGTCGGGACAGCCAGGTAGCAGGTCCAAGACGCGGATCTCGCGGTTGTTGGGGCGTTGAGATACTATGTACCTAGGTAAGTCAGGTGATTATCCAGTCGTGATGGTTCATCAATTTACCTGAAGCCTCCATCTCGATCGAGCCAAGGAGGAGATCTATAGATCTTCCAAACAGGATGAGTGTAGCGAAAGAGTGTCCACGAATGAATCACGTGTACGGTAGCTGTTGCATGATGAGCTGCCTGATCAGCCAAGAGCGGGCTGATCAAACAAAGCCAGGAAACATCCCATGGCCTGCATGCCCAGGTGGTGATATGAAAAATTGTAACATACAACACTTGCGCTGTTCACGACAGCATTCTCGTGGAGTTCTTAAAAGCTTAAGTCTGGCTGCACCGCGGGCGCGTAGGTAGGAACGCTGCCAAGAGTGGGTCCACGGCGCGTCATCTCTCGCGTCAACCAGACCTCGGGAAGTGTGCCCTCTTCACCTCACTTCACCACCACCAAGTCGTACACGATATGGGCGCATCCTACAGGACAAAGCTATCGACGCGCTTGTGCTGATCCGATAGTCCATCTCCATCTCCATCTCAATTCACCCCTTTGGTTTCGCCATGGCAGTTCATGTCGGCTGTCATCTCAGCACATTCATCATCTTCACAAGCAAGAAGACCAAGCCGATGGACTACAGTATCTTCAGGGCTATTTTCAACAGCCCGAAATCCTTTGGTTCTCTTAGTCACCTATTCCGGCCTTTCTGTGCCAGACTATTCCACCTTCGCTCGTGCTTTTCAGAGCCCGGTGTATACTCGTATGCGTTCCTGTGGGATTAAGCAGTTTTATGTTACAACTGTCAGAATCCTGTCAAAACGCGCCTCATCTTTCTACCGATACATATGATATCTAGCATCCACGACGCATCTCCACAGTTCGCATATCGATCGTGACAGATATACCTGTTGACTAGGGTCAGTAGACAGCGACCGGCAACATGACTGTACGGTCTTTGTCTCGTGAATATGTCACAAAATCTATAAGGTGGTTCTGATCAGAACACCACATTATCTCTATTTTGACGCGCGGACCACAAGTTGCGTCATCGCTTCAAGGAAAGCTCTCACTGACTGAGCGCACTGACGGTTCTGGACGGTCTTTGACTGCTCCAGGCAACGTTGATAGGAGTGGTGAGCGTTTGCAAATTTCTTTCAGGGTCTTGTTGAAGGCTTTTCATCAGCCCTCACTGCTCACCAGTGCCTATAACGGAAGTCTTTCGTCGATCACACGCGCCTGCTGAACTTCTTCACTCTTCTGCGCCTGAGTCAGATGATTCGATTCTTCTACTTTCTCTGCACGTCCTTCACATCTCTGCTGCTATAAAGAGCATATCGTCTCCTCTGGCTTGAAAGATTCCTCTCACTCTTTCGACTCACAATCTGCCCTGAGACCAGTTCACTATGGAGCGGAGTCAGGATAGCGATCGAAATCAGTGCGAGTATGTATTCACTAGCGAATATTTTGAGATCAATGCTTACAATATATAGTGCGGCGCAGACTCAGCCATCTGGCATGTCCCCAATGGCAGACAGCTCTCCTTTATCAGAACTTCCCGAAACTCCCTCTCTAGAAGTGAGCAGCGCGATGCGAGGTAACGATGGACGCGTCGAAGCGCTCAAAAATGATGACGGCGAAGAGTCTACGGACGAAAGTTCCAACACCAAGAAGCCATACGCATGCCAGTATTGTGGCAAGACATATGTCAGCGAAGCGAAGCTCAAAGTACGTATCAGAAGCCCACGTTTCATCTTCACGTACTGACCTAACTATAGCGCCATACAAGGGATACCAGATCTAAATGTGCAAAGAGGCGCCTCGGGGGTAGCATGAGTGACAGCGCCTTTGCCTGTCCACGGTGCGATGCCCAGATGTCCAAGAAGTACTCTATAGAGGTCTGTCGTCCGTCCGTATCCTTCAGATAAACATCGCTAATTGTGAATCAGCGGCACATCAAAGACTCATGCTGGAAGATTTGCGACGAATGTTGCAAGGGCCATAAGTCGACGTGCGATGCCTATTATACCGACGACGCCTGTAAACATTGCCTGCAGCAGGGACTTGCATGTACCAAGCACAAAGAACAAGTGTCCGACTGCAACCCAGAGTTGCTCACAGATACACCCACACAGCCGTACAAATCAGCTCCTAGATCTAGTCGCGCTGGCACAGTTGCCAAGGACGACAAAGGCAAGCGTAAGGCCACCGACTCACCAGGTGCGCGTCCAAAGTCCAAGCCGGTCGCCAAGCGTGCAACTGCTGTTGCCAAGAAAGAGACGACTACAGCCACTGGACCAAGTCAGGAAGCTGGCCGTTTGTATCCTCCGTTTGCGTCGCAGTCTGACCTTGAGAGGTCGCCCCAGTATCATATGGATATCGAAGAGAACAGTACGTGGCCTCCAAAAACTCCTTATTCTGAATGACTGCTAATGAAAACAGCTCCAGTTGACGGCTTGAGATCGTCGACTCACCTACAATCGCGCGATCACGTTCCAACTACACTACCCCCGCAGTCGACACTCATGTTTCAGCACGTACAGCGAGATCAAGCCCGAGGATACCTAGCTCTGCAGAAGCAGGTTCCCATACCACCCTTGATACCCGGTCAACAGTACGATGGTCGCGACGTTATGACTCCGCAGCAAGCTCTAGCTCGCTGGCCACACATCCACAATAGTTCTGGTCGTATGACATATATTGTGGGGCGAAATGGAGAGGTCTTGAATCAATCTGCGATAGATGGTGATGAGTTGCTCAAGAAGTTGAATGCGCAACAGAGACGTATCGCAGCCATGGCAACTCGACACAACAACGGAGTGCGTGTGCCTGTACCGACTCGTCCAGCGTCACAGGTACAGGACGAACATCGCAGCCAGTTCAATCATGTACATTCCCCTGAGTCTCGTTTGACGCGCTTCCGACCCATCCAATCCGCCAACTTCAAGGTGTATGAGGAAGCTGCTCGTCGTAACCTTCGGCCCAACGAGTTCCTTGCAAGCGCGCCTGGATCTCGCATGCCTTCTCGCCAGACGTCGGCCCAGCCAGCCGCCGACTTGCACTTGCCGACACAAGGGCAGCTTCAAGGGATGAATACGGCTGCTCCGACTACGAAGAGACCGGTAGCTCGGGAGCTCACACAGCCAGTAAGTGGGATTGTTTCCCGGCTCTAGAATCTAGTCACTGACAAGTTTAGATTGCTTTGCAACGTTCTGCTCTACCCGTAGCAGACGAGAACGATCCCGTAATGACACTTCGTATTCATAGCAATACATACGACATCAATGGCACTCCCATCTTCTCCATCCTCACGATCCGCGCGTCGCAGAAGTTTGGCCCTCGTTTGGAATACTATTGTCAACAGCGAGGCAAACAGTACGGCATAGACTGGGTCTTCATATACCAATACGCGCTAGGTGGCCCGGATGATGACATGGGAGCACGTTACATCAAGATCGACTACGATATGATCTTCAGCGATGTTCATGATCCCGAGCGTCCCGACATCAAGCTCCGAGATATGGACACCATCATGATCATGAAAGCCAAGTCCCGCCTCGTAACCATGATCGAGCATGGCCGGAACAGGATTGAAACTCCGCTATCGCCTACTGGCTCGCAGGTTTCGGAAGACAATATCGACATCGTTGATGGCGAGACCCCGATCTTCCAGAACGCCGGCACCATTGCAAACTGGAACCGCATTGTCGAGAGTAAGATGATGGAGTTGCGCAATCAGGTCAACACCTTGACATCTGAGAACCAGCGCCAGAAGACAGAGTTGGCTAGGCAGAACCAGATGCTCGGTGATATGATCAAGCGCAACAATGCATCGATGCAGAGCAGTCATCCACAGGCTACTGGTCGTGGTGTTCATGCCTTCCCCTTCGTTGGTCATTCAACTGCAAACCTCCATCCCGGCATCCAACGTGGCCCAACTGTCCAGCGCAACGCGTTCATGG